TTCAGCAGAACTGCCACCTTGGACTTTGCAAGGGCAGACTTTGGCCTGTTTAGGAGACTGCTTGACAGTGTCCCTTGGGAGGAAGTCCTGAAGGGCAAAGGGGTCCAGGAAGCCTGGGCATTCTTCAAGAAGGAAATCATAAAGGTGCAGGAGCAGACCATACCTATGGGCTGAAAGACAAACCAGTGGGGAACTAGACCAGCCTGGCTGAACAGAGAGTTTTGGCTGGAACTCAGGAAAAAATTGAGAGTTTGTGACTTTTGGAAGAGGAGCAGGTAGCTCAGGAGGACAACAAGGATGTCTTAAGGTTGTGAAGGAATGAAATTATGAAGGCTAAAGAGAATCTTCATCCTTTATTGAATGTGGGGAGAAACATAGTGACAAAGGATGAGGAAAAGGCTGAGGTGCTTAATGCTTTCAATGTCTTAGTCTTTAATAACAAGACCAGTTCTTCTCTGTGTACCCAGCCCCCTGAGCTGGAAGTGAGAGACAGGGAGCTGAATGAAGCCTCCATAATCCAATGGGAAATGGTGGGTGACCTGCTACTCTACTTAGACATCCACTAGTCTACGGGACTACATGGGATTCACCCAAGGGTGCTGAGGGTGCTGGCGGAAGTGCTTACCAAGCCACTTTCAATCATTTATCAGCAGTCCTGGGTAACCAGGAGAGGATCCCAGTTAACTGGAGGTTAGCAAATATGACTCTCATCTACCAGAAGGGACAGAAGGAGAATCCAGGGAACTACAGGCCTGTCAGTCTGACCTTTGTGCCAGGGAAGGTTATGGAGCAGATCATCTTGAATTCTGTTACGCAGCACATACAGGACAACCAGGTGATCAGGCCCAGTCAGCATGGATTTATGAAAGGCAGGTCCTGCTTGACTGACCTGATCTCCTTCTGTGACAAGGTGACTCACTTAGTGGATGAGGGAAAGGCTATGGATGTTGTCTAGTTAGAATTTAGTAAAGCCTTTGACACCGTTTCCCACAGCATTCTCCTGGAGAAACTGGCTGCTCATGGCTTGGATGGGGGTACTCGGGGTGAAAAAACTGGCTGGATGGCCGGGCCCAAAGAGTTGTGGTGAATGGAGTTAAATCCAGTTGGTGGCTGGTCACAAGTGGTGTTCCTCAGGGTTCAGTTTTGGGGCCAGTTCTGTTTAATATCTTTATCAATGATCTGGACAAGGAATCGAGTGCACCCTCAGTAAGTTTGCAGATGACACCAAGTTGGGCAGGAGTGTTGATCTGCCTGAGGGTAGGAAGGGTCTACAGAGGGATCTGGACAGGCTGGATCCTGGCCGAGGCCAACTGCATGAGGTTCAACAAGGTTAAGTGCCAGGTTCTGCACTTGGGTCACAACAACCCTATGCAATGCTACAGGCTTGGGGAAGAGAAGCTGGTAAGCTGCCCATCAGAAAAGGACCTAGTGGTGTCAACAGCTGACTGAGTATGAGCCAACAGTGTGCCCAGGTGGCCTGCATCAGGAGCAGTGTGGCCAGCAGGACTAGAGAAGTGGCTAGATGTGCAACTTGCACCAGAAGTGATTTAGGTTGGATATTGGGAAAAATTTCTTCATCAAAAGGGTTGTCAGGCATTGGAACAGGCTTCCCAGGGGGGTGGTTAAGTCACTATTCCTGGAGGTATTTAAAAGACATGTATATGTGGTGCTTAGGGACATGGTTTAATGATGGACTTGGCAGTGCTGGGTTACCAGTTGGACTTGATGATCTTAAAGGTCTTTTCCAACCTAAATGATTCTATGATTCATTGAAGTAGACCAGAGCTCTGTACAGACTAATTGTAGCTCAGCAGGATACATCAGTGTATGTGGAGCTTTCTGTTGCATTGGCTAGATTGTTTCCTACACTTTGTTTAGCTAGCTCAGGTACTCAGGGCTGTTCAGAGAGGCTCTTTGAACAGCATGAGGAATGCTTGAAAATGCCTCTGCCACAGCCCCAGTCAGGGCTTTATAGTGGCTAATAACCACTGGAATAGTACTGCCATATTCCTCCTGAAAATCAAATGCTTCTCCCCCTCCCTCCCTCCTCCTTTGCTGGAGCAAAGCAGACAAAAAAGAAATTGTTCAGCATCTGCTCCGGCTGCTGATTCGTAAATGAAGGTGTGTTACCTGCCCGTTATGGCATCTTTGACTTCCCTTCACTCCCACTGTAGTGAAAAAGAAGCTATATCATATCGATATGGTGCAGGAAGCCTCCTCTTAAAGGCTTCTAAATTCTAGGTACCACGAAAGAATTACTGTTATTTGTTATTTCCTGCAATCCTCTAAAATTACTATTTATTTCAGCAGGCACATTTGAAAACAGAAGCAGGGTATGGAAAACTTTTAGTAGTGGATTTTTCCAAAGAGTATACAGACTACAAAGTCTGTGATAAACTCTGAGATTAAGAGAAACTCAAAACTGTCTGGATCTAAGATTTGACCTACTTTGAAGGTTGTCCCATATAAGAGTTTAATTTACTGACCAACCAAATGTAGATGTATCAGTGTTCGTGTGCTGCGATAAAATTCTGTAAAGAACATGAAATGTGACAATGATCTTTGAAAAGCTAGGTTATAGAAGTGATATTACAAATTTTAGTAATGCTTTAAATTAAGTGTCTTCAATATGCTTAACCTTGCATTAAACTTAGATTTAATAAGACAGATGTGTATTAAGTACTGAATATACTTAAGGGAGCAATCTTGCGTTGGCAGGGGATGGAGTCAATGACCTCCTAATAGTTCTCCTCCATCTCTAATTTCTATGATACTAATTGATTATTAAAACACTTTTACTGAGGATTCATATGTAGCTATTATATAGTTATTAATCTTACAACCCAACTGATATTTAATTTATACATGATTTTAACACACAATGTCATTTTAGTTTTTAAAGACTAACCCCGGAACAGTGCATTCACGGGGGCTCTGAAACATCTTGCTGGTAAATGAGGTTGGCCATTTTGGGGTTATTTGGAATTTTATGATAAAATCACACTTTGCAGGGGTGTAAGTTTACAAAGCTCTCCACATTAAAAATGCAATGTTTGCCTCAGTTACAGCACACAAGGAAGACAAAGAAGCTTGTCATGCAGAAAGGTGCATTTATTTGGTTTAAATACTATGTAATGTTAGTGTTGGGTAATCTCAAACAACAGTTAGATTTTGAATATTTTAGAGGTAATCTGTCTAGCTCAATTTTGGATTGCAAAGAAATTTCCCAAAATCATGGAAGTGAGGAAAATGGTGCAGGGATTTTGAGCATTCAACATTCATTTCTGTGAACGTTCGGCTAAGTAAAAAGCAGAAGTTTTGCAGAGCTGTGTTATTAATTCAGCTTGTAGATGCCTAGGGCCATGGCTCATAATGGCATTCCTTTCTTTTTAACAGACTGTCAGGATTTTCAAAGGACATCCAGAAAGCCGTAAGTGCCTGTTTGCTGAATGTATTTCTCATACCCTAAAGGCTTTCTTTGATATGGACTGATCTTTTACATTTATGGATGGAAGTTGCATTAGAAAATGCCCTTTGTGAAAACCTGTAGTATCTCAAGAGTTGCAAACATCTGATTTTTGGCTAAGGTAGTATGAAGATTGTCAGAACTCTGAATCCTTTTTAAAACAGGATTTTCAAATAATTAGTATCAAGCAACAATTTGTATAAAAGCAAAACCTAATGCAAATATATACTAATGCTTGAAAGCCCCTAGTTAATTTAAAAGATATAAGGAGGGGGGATAGAATACTGCTCATTTTGCTTTTAGGATTTTGAGGGTTTTGTGCCTACTTTATGATAAATATTTACATTCAACATATGTCTTTTGATGTCAAAAGTATAATGACCAAGTCTTGTTTTTCAGTCAGAAGGCTGGAATGCAGATGGAAGGGGCCCTAATGTCTGGGACACATTCACCCATCAGGGAGGAGATCGAGTTTTCAAGAACCAGACTGGTGATGTAGCTTGTGGCAGCTACACTCTGTGGGAGAAAGATTTGAAATGTATCAAACAGCTTGGATTGACTCATTATCGCTTTTCTCTTTCCTGGTCACGTCTGTTACCTGATGGGACGACAGGTTTCATCAACCAGAAAGGCAATTGTTTCTTAAAAATAGAAGGTTGCAGCTTTAATTCAAGGTTATTGCTGCAGTCTGGCATAATTAATCCAGTATGCTATTCTGCAGTGTGGCTTTGAAATTGCAACTTTTTTTCAGAGTAATTATGGGATGATTTTTTATAGGTTTGCAACAACTTACTAATTAATATTCCAGATCCCCTTGGATAGCACAATCTTTTGGGATAGGATTAGTATTATGTTTCCTATGTATCTTTTTGCTTACTCCAGTTTTTTTAATTGTAACTCTAAATCATTTTGCTTCATCAGAATGTTTATACTTACAGGGATCCTAGCCATGAGGATATTTTTGGATGGCTCACAATAGACAAGTATCTTATTTGGCAAATGCATTTAGATAGTGTATCAGTATACTCTGATGTACTGAACTTCACATCAACTATTTTACACTAAGAGGGATGACATATTTTTTCCAGATATTTTCTTTAACAATTTAGAGAAGATTCTTCAGACTCAGGTAGGAACTGTGCTTAGCTCTCTGACAAACAAAAGACAGTCCCTGCTCTGAAGAGAAGAGTTTTCACAATCTCAGCAGACAGTGTAAAAGTGAAAAGGGATACAGCACATAAACAAATTGGTCAGATTGCTAGTAGTCAGATACAAAATTTGTTACACTTCTGATTTGTTTATTTTAATTCCATTGGTGTAGACTAAGGAAAAGATGAAGGTGACTTATCAGGAAATGTTAGGAAATAACACCTTTACCTGCTGGACATACAGAATGGAAGAAAGAAGAAATTAAGAGGATTGTGAATAATAAAAGCAACTGAAGGTGAACCAGATAGGATGGCAGAATCAACACAGTTGGCTGAGGTCTCTTATATGCTGTGAGGATAATGTTCCAAGGAGGAAAAAGCAAAGTGGATTTGGATGCATCTCTGAATCTCAGTTCTGTCTCCTACTCTTCTGAATCTCAGTTCTACCAAGAAGATACATATCTTTGTACTTCTGGGTCAGTGTTTGCATTGGCAATTCTTTTTTTCCCTTGGTTTGAAGTTTGCAAAGGTGGAAGGCAACAAAGGGAAAGGATTTCCTCAGAAATGCTCTTCAGGTTATCCTGTTCTGTGCTGGGAAGATACCAGCAGAAGCAAGGTTTTTCTGCAGAATTTTGGTCCTGTAGAGTTTGGCTATTCAATAGGCACAGCCTGTCCTCTGCATCCTGCAGATTACGGTTTTCACCAGAGAGTGGAGGAGCCTTTGTTTCAAGAATTCGGAAAAGGAGGGGGCTGGTGAATCTGCTGTAAACAGACCAACCAGTCATTTTCCCCTGCAGAGCATGACTGCAAAAACCATGCCAGCATCCCAGAGAGGCTTGAATGGAAGCCTTTCCTTTGCCACCAAAATTTACAATATGCGGCCCACTTTCACTGGCACAGCTTCCCTTTCCCTAGGAACGCTTTTTGTGGTGTGTTGAATTTAAATTTGGCTGAGTCCTTGTGGTTTCTTTCCTGTGCTAATATTCCTTCAGCTGGGGCTGCAGGCATTGTACCACCCCACAGAGCTGCCTACTGAACAAGGTTTGCTGTTCAGACGTCAGAGTGGGAGATAGCAAGCAGACATTCTGAATGCACTTGGTAAAGAAAGCTAACATTTTGACAAAACTCAGCTGTAATTTCAGAAAATGTTCACTTGATCCCCAGTATAAGCAGTTGCCTGATTAATATTATGAACTTTACATTTAGCGAAAGGGCATTGGAGGAACTCCAAGTAGGCCAGCTTTCATTAGGCAGGAGTTCACTTCTCTTGTGCAGTGATCTGTTGAAGCAATTGTAACTACATAGCATGGAAAGGCCATCATCTTCTATATAAACATTTTTACAAAGAGCATGTGAAGAATTAGAAAGCTTAGAGCAATGTCCTTTCAAATAAAATCATTCACACCAACTGATTCACTACCAATTTCACACCTAAGACGTAGGACATTTGAAAACCTTTAAAACCATTCTGTTTCTAACTCAGTGGGGGTAGAGTCTTTTAAAGCAGCAATGTTGTAGGTGTATTGTTCCTCAGACGTGTCAGGTTTTAGGTTAAAACTTACACCAAGTTTGTTTTTAAAGTATTTTTGTATAATTAATGTTACCCTAAAAGGTGTCCTTAGCAGGACAAGTTAGCTGCTAAACACTAGGTGTCAGTGTGGAGGGAGACAGAAGTAGCAGACATGGGGGTATTGAGTCTGGAAGAATTTGATGTTAAGCCTCACTTCAGCATGAAGGTGGGGAATCACGTTGAGGAGAGGAGACTACAGAAAGTAGAAAAGAACAATCCTTCACTTTCCAGGGACAAAATGCTCCTTAATGTCTGTAATTCCCAAATCCACAAAACCCTTATATACACACTTTCTCAGAAGATGTTTTCTTCTGTATTTCTCTTTCTCACTGACCCACAGATACAGCCATAGAAACTAAATCAGGCTACTCTGGAATGTATGAGACAATCTGGAAATTTGACTTGACATTTAAATTTTTCAATAATGCAGTTCTATTTCTCTTCATTTCCTAACACAAAGCATAAATCTTTTCCAATATTGGTGTTTAATTGAGATGTAAAAAATGAATGATAGCTGGTTGCACTTAAATGTTATAAATTGAACTAAGTAATTTATAATCTGAAAATCAGAATGGGAAATGCTAGTGTCTTCTAGGCAAGCATTACTCTCATACAAGGATCCTGTTCCAGCAAAGATTTTCTTTTTTCCCAGTTTAAGCTTATTTAGTAAACCTTGCATTTCCACCAGCAAACAGTTACACACCCAGTTCCACTGAAGTCAAATAGGCCCCTGTTCAAAAGCGACAGTAACAAACTGTATTAGCTCCTAATTGCAAGAAGTTTCAAAATTTGATATTCTGATATATTTCCTTCTCTTTTAGGTGGGTGCATACTCAGGCACAGGCATGTATATCCTCAGAATTTAATGTGGTTTTCTGGTGCTGCATTCAGAAGGAAAAGCAAAATACCTGTGAGATTCATTGTGAATTACTTGGTAAACAAACTTATTGAGTCTTGCTGTGCTAAAGGAAGTGTATGCACCTGTTTGTTTACGAGAAGGCACTACCTAAATCTGGGGTTCATAATTGATTGCTTCAGTAAATGTTGTCTTAAAAAAGCCATTTGATGGAAATTCTTACAATCATTGGAAGTTAGGATAATTTGAAGTCTATTACTGTCCTTTTAAGAAGAAGGTAGTATGGGGTTTTATGCTGGCATTTTTAAATATCAATACATAGCAAGCTGAACCTCAAAATACCAGACAAGTTATAATACAATACAGACAGATTTCCTAATGAACAAGTTTCCTACTTTGGGTTAAACAAAATCTCTGGTTCAGAAACTGTTAAGAATAATATTCTAAACCATACATAGCCTCCTCAGCATACATTTTGTTAACCTTTGCAACTTAGTCTTCCTCCTCCTCCTTTCTGCTGTGTTCTCAACTTCTTTATATCATTCTCAGTTCTGGGTTTCAATACAGCAAGGCCTTGGGAGACACATTTCATAAGCACCTATATCTCATTAGGATATGTAGAAGTCTTAAGGCCAACGAAAATTTTATGAGTTTTATGTTTCTAAGGTTCTTAAACACTTCGGTGTATATAGCCCAAGTCTCTGAAGCAAAGGCTGACTGATTTCTACATTCCCCCAGCATGATGGAGACCTATTTCTGGCTGGAGCCTCTCAGCTTAACAAGTAATAATTCAAGGCCAGTTTTGGTTTTTTCCAATTACTGCACTAAACCAGATAGTTCAAGTAAAAGTGCAAACTAATTGATACTCTTTGAAGAAGAGCTTATGATGTGTTTTCAGAAGGCTGAAAAGCAATGTAGTTGTGTTTGGATGTAAGCAAAATTAAAAAGACCTATATAAGAGCTTAAGGTATCCTGCTATTTAAACTTACACTGACCTCTCAGCAGCATAAAAATAGTCCTTTAGGAAACATATTCATGTCAGCCGCTGCTAAATCTGAACAGAAGGTGAATTCCTGTTAAGCCTCTAGAAATATATCCACAGTACTGGCCAGTTTTAACAACACATCCAGGAAATTAAAGTTGATCTCTGTCTTATCAAGGCAGGACAAGAAAGGTTGGAAGTCATGAGCTTTCAGAGAGGTGAGCTAATTCCTTCTTGCAGTTAGAGGGTCTGAGAAATCTGCAGCTTTGGCAGTGTAAAAGGAAGAGGGTTGGTTTCTTGGATAAACTATTGCCAAGCCATTCATATTGGTGGCTAAACTCCATCTAATACACTCCATCTAAAATGGATGTTCTAAAATACTTTTCTCGGTGCTGGTGCAGAAAGTGATGGAGGATGGAGCAGTCTAGAGAGAACAGTTCACTCAGCTAACCAAGTTCAACTCATAAAAGATCAGCTTCGTTACCTGAGTGTGGCACTAAACTTTTAAAAAGACTCAGTTCTCAAGGAGAGAAATGCTTTCATTAGAACAAATCTACCTCTCAGGCTTTCAAGTGTCAAGATTTTTCCAACATGCTTTCATCTTGTACATGCAGCCAGGCTGCCATTCAGGCATTTAAATGAAAGGATTATATTTTCATGTGACCAGCACCCATCAGAATTATGTTTCTCCTGGGGAGTTGCTGTCCACTGATCTATTTTGAAAATTTGCATCCTCATTTCGTGTTCCTGCTTGGAAGATTTTGTGTGCTGAGCATTTTTGCCAACTCTGGGGTCTGTAACAGTAGTTAGCATGCACTTGAGAGGAAATATTTGCATCTCTTAACAGAGAAAATGTGCAGTGAGATTTCTTCATGTGTTAAAATGCATTAAAGTTACTAAGTTAACCGTTTTTTATTTCTTTTAATATTTTTACAATTATTACAGCAAAATAATTAATAACCTGGGAAATGGCATCCTGCTCACTGTATCCATTTGCTTTACCTCAGACCTTAGAAGATGAAGGTGTCTGGAGTTCTGAAAAGATCATTGAGACCTTAGTTATTCATGCAAAGTGGTTGTGAAAAAGGTATAGTCCCAGCATGGGTAACACAGTTTACAAGGCAGCTTATAACATGATAAAAGCTCCTGCTAAAGCGTGACACAGTTGTGATAAGATATTTGGAGAAAACAATGTGAACTTGTGTGTATAGCTCTGAACTCAGATTGGTAGAACCTCTACAGATACTACAGCAGATCAAAAAGTCTCTAAAGGGTACCTGTCCTTAGAAGGGTTTGTCACAACAGTGTTTACTGATGGTGAATATCCAGCCATCATAAAGTCCTGGATTTCTGCAATGCATTCAAAGCAGCATTACTTATGATCAAGGCTTCTGGAATTCACAAAATAGGAAAAAAATTATGACCATGGGTATTGCTGACTGCTTTGCCCTGAACTGTTAAACGTAAGACCAAGAAAATGCAGGTGTTTCAGTGGACTATGAAGCTGAGCACATAATGGATCCTTCAGGGCCTGTTGCAACTGGGAGTTTATGTCTGGCTGTAGTATCATGAGGTTTGCATTGAATTCTGTGTTCTGTCATGGAATGACCTAAAGCTCACAGCACCATTTTGCTACTATTAGTTGGCCAGTGAGGGGATCTGAGAATCCATTGCGTAACACTGGTGAGTTGGGGTTTTTTTAAGAAACCCATCTGGATGACATAATACATTATACAAGATAAAAATAAACAAGTCACCTTGGGATTGTTAATTTAATTTTTGCATGCTGGCTATAAGGAGTAAGAACCTTAGTATTTTCCTATTGCCTTTGTACTTGGTAGCTATTTGACAGTTTGAAATGACACACCAGTGTTATATCATCTTTTGAACTCCAGAAATGATCTTTCTGAGGCCAGCAGTAAGGCTTCCTGGCATACATCTACTCCTGGCAATGGGACATGTGGTGACTGCCAATACCAAGGGGTTAAGGAGCAGTGACAATAAGCAGATGCTAATGCAGGAAAGATATTTTAGTCTTCTCATTAAAATAAGTCATTTCACTGCCTTCATGGATATTTGCACAGTTTTGCTTTTCCATTGTTAGTCATAAAAGGTCAGCTCATGGAAAATTAAGTTAATAGGGTCAGTGCAATTTGATGAAAACTAGTTTTAGTTTGTAGCTTAGAAAAAATAGAGGGTAATGCATCTGATTTTATGGCCTTTGTTACATCTGTTCTGAATAAAACTTCTGCTAGCTTGTTCTAGGATACATATAATAACCCTATAATTTACATCACTGAGAATGGGTTTCCCCAATGTGACCCTGCTCTACTTGATGACAGTCAACGATGTAAGTATTTCAGGCTGATTTTACAGGAAATTTTAAAAAGTACCATTTGAAATGATGAAAGATCAATTGTGCAAACTTAATATAATTTTACTTCGTGCTTCTTTGCATCCAGCAGTGACCAATGATTCTTGAAGCCAAAACATGTAAATTGGAGTAAAGTGATGTGATTTAAAAAAAAAAGTTTAGCTGAAAGGAAAGCAAGTTATTTTAATCCAGCTCCCCCCATCCTGGATTGGAATCACAAAAAGGTTCTCCATGCATACATTATTGCTAAACTCAGTTATGAAGGGTTTCACTAAGCAAAGCAGCAGCATTGATCTGCAGAAGTGCTCATTGTTCATACTTCTCATTGTGAAGGATGTAATGTTGAGTGCATCTGAAAACCTGACTATTATATCTCATAATATTCTTAGAGAATACAACCTCCCATATACAATGAGGTCCATGTAGTAATTCATTCCTGTACAAGGCTCAGCTTCTGCCTTTAGGTCAGGATGGCCAAAAGAGATCAGCACTAGTGAAGCTCTTCTTTTCAGATGATGCTTTACCATTAGTTTTGATAGAAAAAAAGTTGTCCACATTTCCAGTCTTCTGGAAATTCATTCCCTACCTTCCTTCTGATGGTAATATTCTCTGAGGTAATTTACAGGGAGTAGATCTTCTTGTTGTGTATCAAATGAACTGTATTTTAAAATGTCAGTTCATTAAGATAATAGCTAGTCTCCCTGTTATATTTGTCCAAAGTTATCACAGTCATGAATGTCATACAATAATTTAACAGTTTTTTGCAGACATTCTTCCATCTTCATGCTTCCTATGTTTATATTCTTTATTTTATCCTTACTTTCATTAAAATGAAAAAAAAAAAGCTACCTTTCTGACTACTTCCTTTTTCAGTTAAAGTTGCAATTTAGACTTGTCCCCCATGCCAATTAACTTCTTTTCTTCAAGTGAAAGATGCAAAAAAACATTTTTTGGTGCTGTAACCAAGTGGTAGAGCCTGCTTCTAGCTGCCTTTGGAGAGCACTTCCCAGCCGTGCCATATCTGGCCCCAAGCCATGTCTGGAGAGTAGTAGTAGACACTGGGCAGCAGTTTTGTCAAGGAGTAAAAATTCAGGTCCGCAGACTATGTAGTGATGGTGTTTGAGTCAGGCCACTGAGCCTGTTTTGTTTAATTATAAGCCTGTAGACAGGCTATCTGGAATTGCTTTTCACTGAAGATATAAAGAAATTAATAAAGATTCTATTCTCACTGTTTAATGAAATGGGGTTAATTTACTAAATCTGGTTGTTTTACAATGTACAATGGCTTACCCTGAAGTAAACATTTAGAGTAGATCTCATGAATCCCACCTTGATGCATTCATTGACACAGTTCTCTTCATACATGGTGGGGAAATGAAGGGCACTACCCCTGAAGTTGATGTCTATATGGGAGATATCCAAAGTTGGGTAAAATGAACCTTTGCCATTTGTTCAGTCCAATAAACTTTTAAACATGTGTGTGTTCTGACTGTAATCAGTGCACCCTTACACAGGTTTATTTCTATGTGCAGTTTTGATATGAAGTTGGATTGATGTTTAGCATTTTATCCCATACAAAGCATTGTGAAACACTGGATGAAACAGGTCTCTATATGCAAAGATAATATAAATATTAAATCCATCCCCTGTAAGACACTTTATAAAGAAATGTCAGTAACATTATCCCTGCGCAATTTCTTTCCTGCTACTCTGAGTAAACAGTTTGTTGAGACCACTCCCTGTGTAGTGACCCACTAATAAGCAACACATTTCAAGTTTTCAGCTCAGATATCCTGCAAAGCACAATATTCAAAGATGTTCACTTTCTTCAGTGCTTAAATGCTTAACCATTTATTAAGTGTTATGTGAAGCAGAACAGTTTAATTGCTCTGCATACAGTTCCTACCCTACAATAATTCCTTATCTTCGGAGCTAACTTTTGAAATTATTAGTACAGGCTCATTCATGCAATGAGCTCTGGGTCATGACAGGGGCCTGTGTGGATTTTGCTGTGGGATTTGGGCATGCCTACTTACTTTTGGTCTAACCAGTAAATAAATATGCTTGACTACAAAGGTGAGTGTACCTACAGCCTGTTATTGCACTTGTTAATAGAAATATTTTAATATGTTATAATTGGATTGATAGTATCCTCATTTTATCTTTCTGCATTAAAAACCCTCCTAGCTCTTAGAATACGTGCTTGCACTAATTATGTTTTGTCAGCCGAAATTTTCAAAATAATAAAGATCTTGCCTTTTCAAGACCTTGTTTTTTAGAAAGTGCTATCCTCTAGTACTCTAAAAATCAGATATTTCAATGCCTCTCAAGCTAGATAGCAAGAATGCTGGTAACCAAAATTCCTGAGATTTTTACTATTATCAGTACTATTTAAAATACAGGATGTTGGAGAGCAGGAGCAGTATAGAGTTGGTGTAGCAACCTTTGCCCACTGAGACAGTGATCATGCAGTATCAGTGAAAAACTACTGTACATTACCCCTCTGCTTTATTTTTAGATAAAGATTTTGATGCTGTCTGAGAAAATTGAGATTTTTATTTTTTGGGCAGTGTTAGTTAATAAGACCAGAAAAAGCAGTGTAAGTATGAACTAGGAAATAGAGAGTGAACAGCATGAAACTGCTATAAATATATCACATGATAGCTATTATAGATGGAAAATAGTTTTAAAATGGATACAACTGCTGCCATATTGCCTGTGAACTATATGAATAGATAAAAGCATCAGTATTTTAATAAATGTGGATATACATATTTAGCACCTCCACAGAGCCATAAGCATGCATGGTGCTTTACAGATAAATGAAAATTATGTCTTCTTACCCCAAGGAACTGAATATCTCATTTGGATACAATGCATGAAGAGGTGATGAACAGGAGGCTGGATGAGAGGCAAACAGGAACATGGATCAGAGTAGTGAAATGCTTGTTACTATACTTTCTCTTCCTTAATTTTATGTAATGTATGTTAAGGATGACATCTAGATCAAAGATCAAGGCTGCCAATAAAAAGGTAATTGAAACTACTCAGGTTTGAAAAGTGAAACCTTCTAAAAGAGATAATAGAGCTTCATAAAGTCTATGGAGGAGAGCAGTGCAAATAGTGGGTAAACTATTGCCAGAAGCTGATGAAGAAAAGTAATGAAACTATTCCATAATCTAGCTGGTAGAAGATTATTAATAATGCTGACGGGGAGGAAAGAATGAATTAAATAAATTTTAGGTTGCAGAGGGCTGCAAGAAGTAGGTACTGGAAAGAGAGTTGAAGTTAGTAGGAACGGAAAGTAAAGAAGTTGAGGATGATGTGATGTGATATGGGCAGAGGAAAGTAAAAGGGAGATGGGCAAGAATAAATATGAACAAGCAGGACTAGATTTGGGAGTAAATACAAAACATACGAACATTTAATTTGGAGTCATCCGTGAGGTCAACAGTAAAAAATGCAGAGCAAATAGGAGAAATTATTGTGAGGAGATGGAATGGATAAAGGGAGAAAGGGATGGGTAAAGCTTAAGCTTCAGATGTTAATGTCTTCCTTAAATATGCTTGAATAAAGCACAAGAGAAAATGAGATACAGACAATGCTGACTGCAATGGGAAGTGCAGAGCAAAACTAAAACTGATGATAAGCGAGGTGGTGCAGTTATGACTATTTTAAAAAAATGTACCTTAAGTTAAATACAGTCCCTTCTAGACAGCCTTTTGTCCTTTTTTCCCTCAGACTTGTAAGATTTATTTTAAAAACTGTTATATATTGTTGTCACTGTACACTGACCTTGCTATCATGAACTAACCATTTAGCCTGTGTTGTAGATACACACTAGCCTGCTTTTTCTGCATTCCCATGCACATAAAACAGTGCAGTTATAATGCAATACTGTAGTCCATGAAAATATGATTTATTGTTAAATTAAATGTGGATGTCATAATGTGAACCCCTTGGGTCAGCTATAAGCTTGAATGTTATTGAAAGAGCTGCAGCTGCAGCTCTGTTTCATCATCGCCACTGACAAAAATGCCTCTACAAATAGAATACAACAATGCAGACATCTTAAGGAGTCTCTGAGATGTGCTGTCCCTGGCATAACATTGCCATGTGACATTTTCAAGAACTATAAATACATTGACTGCATTATAGTGTAAAAGTTAAGAAGCTTTGCGGTAGTCACTGCAGAAGGTTAAAATCAAGCTGAATTTGTTGTGAATACTGTGAGGGATTCAAAGCTTTTTAAAAAAACCCAAACAAAACCAAACAAAAAACCCCAAACCAGATACCCCTAAAATCATAAAGATATAGCTAGCATAGAGCAATCTATTTATCAGATTTTTAATGCGGTTTTAAGAGGTCCAGAATACATAGGTATGATTCCATAAATCCTAGTTAAATGCCAGTTTTATAACTTCACATTATGACAAGAACAGCCACACATAATGTCTTAGGAAAGATGTCTGAGACCACCTCTAGACCACAGAAATGATCACTTTGTAGCAGTATTTGCCTGTTATTGAAGTTTATACCTACTTTTTTTTCACATTAATCCTTTTATCTGAATGTTTTAATCTGCAAAGTGAGCACTCTTTTTTTCCCCAAATCTTAACCAGCAGTTTTCCAATGCAAAATTATGAAACAACATTTTCTTCCTCAAAAATGCTCTGTAATCTGCCTTCAAAAGTATCTTCAATAAAGGTAACAAAACACCATTAGGTGTTTATGTTGGGAAAACTTCTGCTGGAACCAGGGTAACAGCCTGGTCCTTGCACCAGCAGAAGAGAGTCATCTCTCTAAAACCAAGATATGTGAGTGCTTGCCAGTGTCTTCATTTAGACTGAAAAGATTAAAATAAAAACTATTATCCAATAGTTGCTTATATTGGGGTTAAGTGGTGAGCTTTTGGTAGCAGGGCAGGGGCTACAGGGGTGGCTGCTATGAGAAGCTGCTAAAAGCTTCCCTAGCTCCAAGTTGGGCAGCCTCTGGCCACCGCTGAGCCCAATAGC